AAATTTGATAGGATCTTTGTGTTGCTCTTCATCGGAATCTAATTCTCTCTTCTCCTTCTTAGGAGAAGCTGTTTGTCTCCTGGATCTTCCTCAATCGCTGACTTTCCTTCTTCCGAATTGTCTGCTTCCATCGGAGGGTCTGGATCTGGTATGTCTTCCTGCACTCTTCGTCTTCTGAAATTTCGCCACATGCCGCGAGAGGTTGTAACACAAAGGTCAAACACACTTGAAGCTACATGGCTGCGAGAGCAGACACAAATTTCTTGAGTCAACGGTTCTGACAAGGTTCTTGAGCTTTCTGCGGTTGCAGACACATCAGAACAGTTATGGTTCTTCAGTGCAATCATCACTGGATATCCGCTCCGATGAATGCCAGAATCGGTGTACTTCGTATGATATATTCTCTGCCAAGAAGGTGACAACGCAAGAACCACTATGAGTGTTGAATCATTGTCCTGAAAGGCGGATGTAAGTCAACATTCGGAAGAGTGCCTGTCATGACGGATCGCTTCAGTGACAACTCTGGGATGTGAGTCCCGCAGCTTGCGCTAGTGGAGCCCAACTCCACCCCCTTTGTCCTTGTTGCAGAAGGCGTATTGACTCCCTATGCGAGAAATATACGTGCATGTGTATGTCCATCCTCCATCTAAGGAAAAGAACAAAAGAAAGAAAGAAGGAAAGAAAGAAAGAAAGAAAGAAGAAGACACGAACCAGCGAAAAGCACAGATATGGAAATCAAGGCTTCAAGACCAATTCTCTATCTATCAATCTATTTTCGTGCTCCGCGCGCCGGCCTCGCATGTCCGCCGCGCGGGCTGGATGGATGGACGCGATGGATGGCGGATAAGAGGGAGAGAGGGAGGGAGGGAGGGATGGATGGATGGATGGATGATGATGGATGATGATGGATGATGATGGATGGAAGGGATGCGGTGGGCGGGTGGATGGGTGGATGGATGGGTGGGTCCGTGGGATGCAATGATACATGGGATGGAGAAATGGATGGGATGGCGCACACGCACACACACACACACCCACCACACAGCCACCTACGCAACGTCACACCCACCCACACCCACCCACCCACCCACCTAACCCACCCCCACCCACCCCGCACGCGCGCGCGCCCGCACCCGCATTCCCACGCGCCGCCCCCCCCGCCGCGCGCCCCCCACGCGCGAGGGCGCGCGCTTGCGGGCGCGCCCGCACGCGACATCCAGACATGCAGAGATCCAGAGATCTAGAAATCCAGCCGACGTATTTTCCCGCCCCAAGGGACACACACAGATATTTATATATATATATACACATAGTTATTTTCACATTAAACCTATAGAAAACATATCAACAAAAGCAACACAGAACACACCGCCCCCATGCCGAAACTGGACCAGGCATGGGGTCGGCGGATTTTCCTATTTGGTTCACTCTCCATCTCTCTCTCTCTCTCTCTTCCTCTCCCTGTTGTATGTATCTATCTATCTATCTATCTATCTAACACTTTTCACGTGTCTGACATTTGGCTACGGCACATCATAGTTGGATGGCAAACAATGCGAACAGAATGAGCGTAGCGGCAGTTTTCTTACCTGCATCCCATGTCATGAGAGAGCTTTTGCATGAGAGAGATTCACCAAAATCATGGAGAATCGCAGAACCTCGAGCAGAAACAAAAGTACAAACAAACCAAACAAACACAAGAAAGCCACGAGGGAAATATCTTGAACATGCCCACTACCTTTTCTGGCTGTTGTTTTCCTCGAGTTTTTTTGTGTTGTTTGGTATTCCAAGTGCACGGGGCCGGCGGTGTAACCCAACCAAGCACAGCTCACTCCCTGAGTTCCCGGATATCAAATTTTTGGGAAGACCATTTTAGTGGCAAATGAAGAGTTTGTTTTTTTTTGGCCAATCCAGTCAGGAAGTAAGACAGAACGCCATGGTTCAGTGTCGCATCCTGAGGACCAGCGGTGGCTGTCATTGACATCTTCGCTCTCAGTGGCAGCTGTGGGAATTGCCCCAGCCTCAGACAGAGGGACATCACGGTGGGCTGCAAGATTAGGGGGTCGATCACCTACCACAAAAAGGACGACTTTCACCACGTTACCCATGTGTATTTTGGGGCGAACGCAAAATTGAGCAACCCCCACTGGTTTGAACGACCCAGGCCCCTAGACATCTGGAGTCAACAGGAGGCTGTGATTGTGCAAACGGGTTGGAACCAACCCTGATGATGACCCCGGATAAATCCTGGAAGTTATTATTTCCTCTACGAGATAAACCCTGACAAACCTTGCAGATGTTTCTTGAATGTCGTGGATAGGGTGATGTTTCCTGCAAATGAAATCCGGATTTTCTCTGAAATGTGTTTGTTGCTCCCCGTATTCAGAAGAATATCTCAGAGCCCTCTTCTACTCCCTTGTAGCCTTTTGTCCTTCCCTTTTCGGTCCGCTTTTAGTAAAGGTCCCAAAGGGCTGACTTTTTACTTTTAGGTCCCTTGCACTTTCCTCTTCGTGTCCATATGCCATAATCCCCGAAGTCGACTTTAATTTGACACCGGCCAGACCCAACCGTGTATCAAGATCTGAGGTTGGAACCGTGTATCAAGATCTGAGGTTGGACCTCGAAATCGAGACGGGCGGTTGGTGGCTGCCATTTGGTTTCCGATCTCAAAACAAAACAAGGCCAAGACGTGTAGCACCAAAACGACCTGGGTGACTGTTTTTTTCCCTTCAGCGCCAAAAGGGTACTCTTCAAGAAAGGGTCACGCCCATCTCTGGGGCGCTTGCCACAAGCCGGTGGAATAGTTCACCCAGGACCTTGAGCTTGCAGAAGTCATCTCGAATTCATCACAATTTGTTGTGTTTTTATTGAATTGAAAGAGACATTGTGCGGAAAACATAAATTCACTTCACAACAATCAAACTCAATTCCTGAAGCTTCCCTGGTTTCCTTGGCTCTTTTTTTTTTAAATGATGCTTGATTTCCCCAACTCAGAGGGACCCTTCCAGGTAGCTTGTCAGGGACCTTTTCTGGCCTTTCCGGTCTCCTTGGGTGGCAAATTTTGGGTATCCCCATGCCAGACCCCAAAAGGACAGACCCGGATGGACATATGGCTGTGGGTCAAAAGTATGTACCCAAAATGGAACCCTGGTAAATGGAAGCATGGACTAAAGCCTGTGGTCCCCTAGTAGTTTAATTTTGACCCACACCCCCATATCCTTTTGTCTAGATTCTAGACGCTTTGACTTGAGCCTGTCTGAAAGTTGTTCCACGTCTCAGGCAAACGGAGAATGGGCGAAAGCACTCATCAATTTTTCTGCTGGGTAAATGGGTGGGGCGGGATGAGACGTCACCAAAACTTGCTGGTTTCCTTTTTTTAGCTTCTTGGACATCTCCAAAAGCTACCCAGGGACCCTCTAAGAAAGGACAGGATGGGTAAAACATTGCCAAAGTCCCATGCGTCGCTCAGGTGTTTTGGCTGTTGCTGAAGCTGGACTTGCAAGACCACAAGGCGCGCGGAAAAAGTTGGGCCAGGCCTCGACTGGCGGTTTGCTCGCAAGCCTTTGTTTCCAATCATGGAAGACAAGAAGGCTTTGTAGCTTGAGCCATCCCCCCCTGTTAGGTTTTTGCCTTATGTGGTTTGGTGGGGATGTTCTTTTTTTGCCTTGTCGGTTTTAGTGGGGGGTTCTTTCCATTTGACCCACACAAGATAGCCGTTTAGCAGGGGATCGGTTTGGACCAGCCCTGGTAAGACAACCATCATCTTATCGCCGGAAAGATGTTTTAGATCTTTTGCAGGGTTGCCACCTGAGCATGTTCCCGGAAAATTCAGCGGGGCCTTCTTTTTTGGGAGGGGTTGCGCGTTCTTTTCCCCATGACCACTGACACTTGGAGAGCTGGTCGGGAAGCTTCCTACAGCAAAACAGTGCAACCGCTCAGGCGGAACAGATATGCGAAACTTGCTGGTCCCCACAGAATGAGGGAATGACCCCTAAAAGCCATCCCTTGTGGATTCCTTCAAGGGAATCCCCAAATTCATTCCCAACACCCCGGGTCATTCCCTACTGAGCACCAGCAAGGAAAGCTTCCGTTTCCTGCCAAACCACCTCGAGGTAGCTTTGGATGGCTAACTTGAAGATCTGGATCGAACCCCTTGCTGGAAATACCTCCCCTCTACTCCAATTGTTTACGGTATTTGTTTGCAGAACCTGGCTTTCCATAGCAAATCCCTCAATTTGTGCAAAGGGTTGACGTGATACCCTAAGTCAGCCAATCGTTGGGAGCAGGGACTAGTTCTCCCAATAGAAGCATAGCTCAGAAGGCCCACCCCTTCGACCCTTCGCCCCCCCCCCCCCAAAAAAAAGAAAGAAAGAGGCTCAGGTGATATCCCCAACAGCATGCGGTGCTCTTTTTGCTTTTTGGTGCTCGCACCTCACAGCCCTCGCAAAACCCTCGTGGAACCTTGGTGGAAACCTGGTGGAACTGCTGGTGGAACCCTGGTGGAACCTTACCTCAGGGCCACCCCGGACCCCGGAGCCTATCTGGGCTGAGACCCCAAAGGTTTCAGCTGGGGAAAAAACGCGGCAACCGATTCAACTCAGTCTGTTTGCTTTGGGATTACGGTAGCGGCTGGGACTTGATCCGATTGCACCGCTCGGTGCGAAGATGAGGTTGTCTCAGATAGCGCGGCCGATTCCTTGCCACGGAGAAACAAATCGGATTCGAATCGGCCCTTGGCTCGATGTTTCAAGGAGCGACAGGAAAGGGTTTCTGGGGAAAGGTCCCAACCTCTTGTGGCCGGACTGCCTTCCTTTGTCTCGTATCTTCTGGGGGTTTTGAATGGATCTCATCTTACTCCAGGTCCTTGCTTGTTTGAGGGTATGTATTGAAACAACCTGGTTTGTGCATGAGAATGATGACCTCCTTTTGTCAGTGGTTGACATCATAGCCTTAAACCGGCGTGTTTTTCCGCTCATCTAGCTCACCTGCAACGCCTCGCCGGCTCGAGCTCACGTCGGCTCGAGCAGTCGAGTTGAGCGGGGACCGGTGCCCGGTGAGCGGAGGAGTGCGATGGCCGTGAAGGCTGGAGCGACAGGGGCCTACTGAAGCAGGTTTTTGGGTACATGCATGTTGTCTAGGTTTTTCCAGCAATTGGTGCCCTTTCTCACCCCTTTTTTGGTTGGGAGGGTTCCCCTACTACAATAGACTACAGAAAAAAGGTAGCCTTGTTCTATCCTCTCTACTGGAGGACCAGTTGTAGAACATCCCCTTCAAGTGGTCAAGTAGTCGTGGGCGTGACCCTCCACTCCACTCCACTCCACGCCACTCCACTCCCCTCCCCTCCACTCCACTCCACTCCACTCCATTCGACTCCACTCCACGCAACGCCACGCCACGCCATGCCATGCCATGCCACGTTGGTTGGTATGACAGAAAAACGTGATTTTCCGCAAGCATGGCGTACTTTTCTCCAACAGGGATTATGTCAAATTGGATGGGCCAAGCCTCTGTTTTGAGCAGCCCGGTTCAGCTTTGAGAAAATGACTGTGCTCCTCCCAAGCCAGCAAACGTTCAACTGCTTGCAAACAGTCAGTTAGACTTAAACCAGGCCGGATGAATCAACCTGGCACATCCCCCCCACCCCACCAGGCGACCCTCTAACATAGGTTGCTCCCCAAAGTCGACAAGGGTGGTTTCCCGGTAGGAGTGTGAAACGCCATTGCAAGGGCACCAGCCAGGTTCCAAAGTGTAAACCACAGAACCCGAAACCCTGAGCCCCTAAGCCCTGAACCAGTGGAGGGTATCTTGATTTGGTGCCTTGGGTCCACCTCCGCACAAAGTCCATACCTTGGTGACAGGGTGCGCTTCTCCTTGGTGAGCTTCTTCCCATGGACCTCAGACTGTTTTGGGCTGAGGCTACTCAGCCGGGATCTCTGGTAATGACCGTGGTCCATTTGGGAGGGGGCTAGGGGGGCGAGCTCTAAATTGTCCTCCGACCAAAAACTGCAAACTTGCTAATGTTCCCATGGTCCTCCTGGGGAAACAAGCAGCTTTGACCGTGGCTTAATATGTTTTGTTGCCAGGCTTCAACAATTGTCAAAATCAGTTCGGCCCTTTGTAAGCTTTTCCGCACCAGCAACCAGAAACTGAAGTTTTTTAGCAAAACAAGTCACACCAATAGTCCTCACTTGTTTGTTTGACTTGTTGTGGTCTTCTGCTCACCTCTACTTCCACAAACAAGCTGAAGTCAGCAAACAAGTTGTCGCACCTCACTCGTTTGGCTTTTCTGCTCTGTGAATTTTGAGCTATGGGGTCAATCGCCAGCTATAAGGTCAGTCAGGTTTACTCACCAGTGATCACCTGCATCTACGTCCTGTGGGATCCAAGGTGCTGCATGACAGACTTTGCACTTTGCCCCCTTCCGACCAAGTGCATCAGAGAATACCAAGAAAAACTGGCTCTGGCTGCTCCAATCCAAGCTGGCATGATGTGAGGCACTCTCAAAATGGTCCCTAAAACGGGTGGAGTTTAAAGGGAAACCAAAAGGACACCAACCATTTCGCGGGACCCACATATTGTGAGAAACACCCATGTGGCCATGAATCTTAGTAGGGAGCCACCTCAAAAAGTGATTGATGGGCCTGACTCCCCAGTGAATTTTGATGTCCACCAAAGGATCCCTTAATTTTTTCATCACCATGTCCCTGCCCCGAACCAAAAAGACATCCCCCAACAGCTTCCCTTGGCTAGGCGCGGGCGCACCGCCTGTTGCTGGCACTGGGCCTGGGCTGCGCCTTCCTGGCGCCCACCTCCCGCGATCGCGATCGACTTGTGGCGAGGGCGACACAGGCCCGGCAAGGCTAGGGCTAGGTCCCCCAGCAATTGGTGCCCTTTTACTACAAAAACAACTGCTGAAAAAAAGGGGGTACCCTCATTCTAACCTTTTTACTAAAATAGACTGCAGAAAAGAAGGGGTACCCTCATTCTAACCTCAACCTCTCTACTGGAGGAGCTAGCCAGAAGCAGGGCACCTTTGCAACCAGAGGAGCTAGCTAGAAGGTGGCAATAGCTCAGGCAAATTCCGTGGAGGAACCAAATTCTGCACCACTTTTAAACATTGGTTTGTCTCCATTGTTTGTTGGTATTTCTAGGGGAATGAAATCATTCCAGATTTTCTGAGCGGTGCGAAATGGATTCCGTCCATCCACAGTATGTTTGTTCAACTTTGCTTTTGGCTGGTTCTCCCTTGAACAAAGAAAGGGTTCAGTTTTCGCATGGGTGTGACAAGGACCCCGGGCTTGAACATCGATGGCAGTGGTTGTTTGGTTCTCAGTTTATCCAAAACCTATGGCAAGATGCGAAGATCTGATGCGAACTCAGAAGCTCACCGATTTGGGGGTCAAAGCAAGCTCCACCTGTCCAAGTTTTTTCCATTGTGGCGGGAAGCTCATGACCCCAGTGCCACGGCCCAACCCTCACGAAGGACGCAGACCCTGACCTGCGGGCCCAAAACCATGGGTTCCATGTGGCTGGCTTTTGCAAGGATGGTCTCACTTCCTGAGGTCCTGGACTTTTTGCGTGTTTTGGAAGACCTATTTATAGTAGCAACAAAAAAAGAAAGCTTGGACTTCATTAGGCGAACCCACTCAGGAAGTGCGTGAACAGAAAGGAGCATGAGCAATAGACAAGGGACAAGGACAATGAGACGGCATTTGCGTGATTTGTTTTCATTGCTTTGCAATAAGCCAATGCGGAAGTAAAAGGTACGTAGTCTTTTACCAGACAGTCACAAGAAGGCAGAACACGGTTCACATGTTGAGGGCCCAATGCATCTTTGCATGTGTGAGTCTCACCCCAGTTTCTAGTTCTGAAATACCTTGGCATGATCTACGGACGCTTGTGACCCAAGTATTTCTGTCCCCCGTACAAAACTCTATCTCGGGACCACGACTACTTGCTGTAGGTTTTCAACCGACATTGCCAGACTTGGCTTGCCTTCTCTTTATTTGGCTGGTCCTCTTAATTTCCCTTCATTTTCCTCTTCGAGCACCAACCGCTTTTCTACAAATGGCAGTATGCAGTTTTTAGGTGGCGACTTGTCGTCAGGCTTCTCTCGGCGAGAGCCAAGTCCATAAGGTGAAAGTCGGAGCCAACTTGTGGGAGTTTTGCGGTTGACAAAACCACGGCAAATCTTTGTTCCATCTGAATCGCCCGACTTTGTTCAGGTTTGGGTCTCTATCAAAGCATGAACACACACACACACCAAATCACCAATCCACCGAACCTCCACACCCATCCAAACCAAACCATTCTTCGGTGTTCAGGTATCCAGTTGGTGGTGCGTTTGTCGATAAATGGGAAACCCTTTATAACCACCAAACCACAACTCCAAACCACAAATAAGAGGGAAGCTGACCTGATTTATGTCCTTTCTTTTTTATTTGCTTTTTCCGATCTCCCATTTTCAGATTATGTTTTGGCTGTTTGGAGCCCGGTTTGGGGATAAGCCGATGTTTCACTGGTGCAACCCCTCCCAACAGCCAGCCGCCCAAAGGAGGCTGAAGTGGTTCAGCCCACCTCCTTCTCAGTGACCGCCGCTCGAAGAAAACTCGGGCAGGGTAGGCTCGGGCTGGCCGATTTAAAAGTGGGCTTAATGGGAAACCAAAAGTGATTGTGGTTTGTTCTGTTTTTCTGTGCGTGTGCGCGTGCGCGTGTGTGCGTGTGCGCGTGTGTGCGTGTGTGCGTGTGTGCGTGTGTGCGTGTGTGCGTGTGTGCGTGTGCGCGTGTGTGCGTGTGTGCGTGTGTGCGTGTGTGCGTGCGTGCGTGCGTGCTTGCGTGTGCGTGGGTGCGTGGGTGCGTGGGTGCGTGGGTGCGTGGGTGCGTGGGTGCGTGGGTGCGTGGGTGCGTGGGTGCGTGGGTGCGTGGGTGTGTGGGTGCGTGGGTGCGTGGGTGTGCGTGTGTGCGTGTGTGTGTGTGTGTGTGTGTGCGTGTGTGTGCGTGTGTGCGTGTGTGCGTGTGTGCGTGTGTGTGCGTGTGTGCGTGTGTGCGTGTGTGCGTGTGTGTGCGTGCGTGTGTGCGTGTGTGCGTGTGTGCGTGTGTGCGTGTGTACGTGTGTGCGTGCGTGCGTGTGTGCGTGCGTGCGTGCGTGCGTGCGTGTGTGTGGGTGTGTGTGGTGCGTGTGTGTGGTTCGTGTGTGTGGTGCGGGTGCGGGTGCGGGTGCGCGTGTGCGCGTGTGCGCGTGTGCTCGTGTGTGCGTGTGCTCGTGTGTGCGTGTGTGCGTGTGTGCGTATGTGCGTATGTGCGTATGTGCGTATGTGCGTATGTGCGTATGTGCGTGTGTGCGTGTGTGTGTGTGTGTGTGTGTGCGTTTTTTGGGGCCGTGGGGGTGTGCCCCTATGTTGGTATTTGTTTTGTTCTGGCTCCGTGCAGTCCGCCGCGCGGATGGATGGATGGATGGATGGATGGATGGATGGATGGATGGATGGATGGATGGATGGATGGATGGATGGATGGCATGAATGGATGGATGCTTGGTTGGTTGTTTCCGGGCGCACGCCCCACGAGTTACGCATGTGTGAGTGCGGTGCGCGCGCGCACGTCATCAGGACCGGCTTGAGGAAGACTGGCCCCAAACGCGGGTGATGCAAGGGATGCAGGCAGGGGCTTCCAAAGCGTCGGCGATGCTGGCAATGCAGCCGGGTTGCGGGCGGTGATGATGCACCAAAGGCGCTGGAGAGGCAGGCGTTGCGAGACCGTCAGTCGAAAGGCAAGGCCTAGGCGTGCGCTTGTTTTGGGCGACCCGGATTTACGTTGCTGGCGCACAACCGGCCGCGGCCGCACCGCGATGCTCAACCAGCAAGTACTAACAACAACTAACAACAACCAACAACAACAACCAACAACATCCAGCAACAACCAACAACAACAACCAGCAACAGCCCAGCCAATACAAAACCAACAAGACAAATAGCAACCAACAACAACCAACAAGAACCAACAAGAGCCACGCACGCGCGCAAACGCGCGCGGGCACGCACGCAAACACGCGCGCACGCACGCGCGCGCGGGCATGTCCCAACCAATTGTTTTTGTCGGTTTTTTTGGCAGTGGCTCAAGACGCAGCAGGACTCCGTGTGGAAGGCAGCTTTCATCAACATCCCAGCATCACCAGCATCACCCCGCATCATCGAACCAAGCTCGCAGACTCACAAGCCCAAAGCAAGCCCAAAAATGGACCTGTTAGAGCCATTTAGTCTTCAAACCCCCAGACGCATGCTCTGCAATGTTTGAGCACGAGATCCTATGACCTAAAACGTATGTTTGTTTGAGCTTGAAATTGCGGTTGGAGGTTGATGTCGCTGCCCTTGACATACGGAGACGCCCTAGCCAACGCAAGTAGCGGAGCACGGTGGGCCCTGCAATTTGCGACTTGTGCCTCTGATTTTTCCGCCCCGTTTGATTAATAGGGGGCCCCATGTGGTGGAAAATCAAAATCTAATCCAAGCTAAACACAAGCACTCTGAAATGTTCGGCGTTAACAGAACGCCGTCAGCACCAGGGAAGCATGCTTGGCTGTGGTTCTTTCCACTTGCAAGAACTTTTGATTTGGTCCATTTAGAGTTGAGGTTCCAAATATAGGTGTCCTTTTGGGTTCACATCGATGGCACTGGTTTAGATTGGTTTGTTGCATCCACCATTTACCAGAACCATCCAATTTTTCTCAAAAGGCCACCCATGGCTCCAAAAAGGTTGACCTTTTACTTCTGGGTTCTTTGGGCTGAGGTTGGGAGCTTCAGCGGAAGCCAGCCTGAGGGCAAGGCAGGGTTGAAGCAAGCCAAGGTCTAGCGGGGGTCGATTTTGCAACCAAAAGCCCAATGCACCCAAAGAAGGTGGCCGAATTAGAGCCTGGGTGTATGTCAGTGATCTTCATTCAGGGGTCCCTTAAATCGAGATTGGGGAAGAATACGTTTTAGCCACGAAGGTCTCAGCGTCCTGCGACCAGCCCCCTTTGGTTTGTGGGTTCATTGCCTCAGCCGCCGGTCGGCTTCTTGACAGGTTCTTTCGTTGCCGGCTTGGTGCCCTCCCTGACTCTTTGCAGCAAGTGCTTCGCAACCTGCAGCAAGCCACTTGGGCTAGGGAAGCCAATGGCGAGCGCATAGCCAGCTCACTTCTCGGAACACGTCCCGGGACACTCTTAGCCGACGTCCTGTTCAACATTGCCGTCACAAGCTCCATGACGCAAATTCAAGAAGAATTTGAAATGTGGGGGCTCAAGACAAGCATTCACGTTGGCCCTGCGCAAGATGCAGTCCCTTTTCCGACGGTAGCTTGGATGGACGACCTGGCCATTTGCATTGAAGGTGCCAGCGAAGCGCACTTGCTCAGCAATGTCAAGCATGCCTGCTGCATAGTTGAGTCTGCTTTTCTGAACGTTGGCCTGTCCCTCAACATGTCTGCCAACCGAAGCAGCCGTTCACTTTGCAGGCGGCGGTGCCAGGGCAGCCGGAAAGCGCCTGCACGTCGATGGGGATTCCACCCTTTCTGTGCAGCGCGCCGATGGTACCGCTTTCCCTCTGCGCATCGTCCCCGCTTACAAGCATCTTGGCATCTTGTTGGACCCTGATGGTTCCATTATTCCAGAAGTTCGTCAAAGGATTGCCCTTGCTGGCAGCGCCCTGCATCAGCTCCGCAGAAGTGTTCTCCGGAAGACGCTGTCAGTCTCAGCCCGTGTTACAATCCTTGAGGCGGTTGTCTTCAGCAGGCTGCTGTACGGGTGTCAAACTTGGCCTGTGTTGAGTTTCCGGACCTTTAAACAAATAAACTGCTTCTACATGAAAGCCATTCAGTTGTCGTTTGGAGATGCGACCATGCCCAACGAAGAGCTGCTTGCCGCTGCCAACTTGCCTGGGCTCTTGTGCCAACTTGCTGGCGTAGCTTTCCAAGCTCCCCGGCGTGACTCAGGGGATGCCGCCCAGTGTGAACGGGCGCACTCGTGTTCTGAGTATGGATGCAGGGGCTGTCAGTTCACCAGTGGGCCAAACATCGCATCCCTTCTGAAGTTAGGCATTTCACTTACGACACCCACTGCGTCGTCTCACGAAGCCAGCTTTTCAAAGCAATTGACCTGCTATCTTGAGGTTGGGTTGTTACCCCGTCGCCCTCTAGACTGGAGCGTGGCCTTGTCTAATGTGAGCACCGCAAATCTTTACTTTATTCTTTATTTCTCATATATTTGGCACTGATATCAGGGGCAGTTGGTGTAGTGGTATCACACCCGCTCAGCGTGCGGGAAACCCCGGGTTCAATCCCTAGACTATCCATGTTTTCTGCAATCATTCTTTTACCAATTTTTAATCTTCAGCGTACAAAGAGCGACTGTATGTTTTGCCGCCCTGCCCACTTCCCAACAAGAACAGCACAGCTGTGGTATTTGTTGGTTCCCACCTCCCTTCTTGCCCGCCTGGTATCTCATCGACTGTACTTGCACAGGATCACTTCTACAGTGACTCCTCTGCTCACACTCAGTCAAACAGCGCAGTTACTTACCTCTGAGGATGAAGGACATCTTCTGCTGTAAAGGATCTTGCCTTACAGGCTTGATGACAGTCTGCAGCAGAAGTAAGTCTGAAGAGGGAATTGAACCCGACTTGGCGTACTGCCTGCTGAACGCAAAGTGCATGGCTTCTAACTGCATAGCTGCTGACTGCATGGCTGCTGATAGCATAGCTGCTGACTGCATAGAGCTGCTGACTGCATAGAGCTGCTGACTGCATAGCTGCTGACTGCATAGCTGCTGCTGCATAGCTGCTGACGATACAAACTGTAATACAGCAAAGAAAAGGAAAGGCATAATGAAAGACCAAGAGGGGCTGCTACGACTTTTCAGATTTCATTTTTATATGTGTCTTCATATTTTTATATTTTTATTATTATATTTGTATCTCTTCAATATTAGCTAAAATCACTGAGCTACTGACTACTGCACAGCTGCTGACTACTGCACAGCTGCTGACTACTGCATAGCTGCTCTGCTGACTGCATAGCTCGCTGCGACTGCATAGCTGCTGACTGCATAGCTGCTGACTGCATAGCTGCTGTCTGCATAGCTGCTGACTGCATAGCTGCTGACTTCGTTCCACTTGGTTCTCCCGGCTGGCGGAGGGCTGCAGGATTCTGAGCGGTCCCTTGCCAGAGGGCGTCGTGTGTGCAACGATGACGGAAAGCGCTTCTAGCGCTGGGAGTTAGTGTACGAAGTTGTGGGGGGGGTAACCTCGTTCTGGGTGATGACGGAAAGCGCTTCTTGAAGCGCTGGGAGTTAGGCTATGCGCGAAACCGGAAAAAACCACCCGACAAGAACCCAAACTCCCAGGCCCCAACTCAGTGTCCAAAAAGCAGTGTTTCTGCAGTTTCCTTGTGGTTTCCGGCCGTTTTCATGGTTCCTCTCGATATGGAGTCCTTCAAGGGGGTGGTGGAAGGGGGGGGATTCCCCAAACCTCCCTAGGGAACCCCAAAAAACACACCCACACACACACACAAAAAAGAAACACGTGTCGGGAACCTTCAGGAACCCGAAAGGGGCTGATCGTTTTCCAACACAGAATCACCCTTTCCAAGGGGAAAACTCCATGGGCCAAAGAATCGATGTTTGAAACCACTGAGATCTTCAGATTCTCACTTTTTGCCTGGGTTACGCAAGGAGTCCCCTTGCTGGTTTCCCCACAGGCTCAGCGCTCCCCAAGGAACCCGGAAAAAAGAAGAAGGAAAAAACAACACCAAGAAAGAAAACACGTTTCGGGAACCTTCAGGAAAACCCGAAAGGGGCTGATCGTTTTCCAACACAGAATCACCCTTTCCAAGGGGAAAACTCCATGGGCCAAAGAATCGATGTTTGAAACCACTGAGATCTTCAGATTCTCACTTTTTGCCTGGGTTACGCAAGGAGTCCCCTTGCTGGTTTCCCCACAGGCTCAGCGCTCCCCAAGGAACCCGGAAAAAAGAAGAAGGAAAAAACAACACCAAGAAAGAAAACACGCTTCGGGAACCTTCAGGAAAACCCGAAAGGGGCTGATCGTTTTCCAACACAGAATCACCCTCTTCAGATTCAAGGGCAAGTCCCCTTGCTGGTTTCCCCACAGGCTCAAAACCCGGAAAAAAGAAGAAGGAAAAAACCACGCTTCGGGAACCTTCAGGAAAACCCGAAAGGGGCTGATCGTTTTCCAACACAGAATGTTCGATGAAACCACTGAGATCTTCAGATTCTCACTTTTTGCCTGGGTTACGCAAGGAGTCCCCTTGCTGGTTTCCCCACAGGCTCAGCGCTCCCCAAGGAACCCGGAAAAAAGAAGAAGGAAAAAATAACACCAAGAAAGAAAACACGCTTCGGGAACCTTCAGGAAAACCCGAAAGGGGCTGATCGTTTTCCAACACAGAATCACCCTTTCCAAGGGGAAAACTCCATGGGCCAAAGAATCGATGTTTGAAACCACTGAGATCTTCAGATTCTCACTTTTTGCCTGGGTTACGCAAGGAGTCCCCTTGCTGGTTTCCCCACAGGCTCAGCGCTCCCCAAGGAACCCGGAAAAAAGAAGAAGGAAAAAATAACACCAAGAAAGAAAACACGCTTCGGGAACCTTCAGGAAAACCCGAAAGGGGCTGATCGTTTTCCAACACAGAATCACCCTTTCCAAGGGGAAAACTCCATGGGCCAAAGAATCGATGTTTGAAACCACTGAGATCTTCAGATTCTCACTTTTTGCCTGGGTTACGCAAGGAGTCCCCTTGCTGGTTTCCCCACAGGCTCAGCGCTCCCCAAGGAACCCGGAAAAAAGAAGAAGGAAAAAATAACACCAAGAAAGAAAACACGCTTCGGGAACCTTCAGGAAAACCCGAAAGGGGCTGATCGTTTTCCAACACAGAATCACCCTTTCCAAGGGGAAAACTCCATGGGCCAAAGAATCGATGTTTGAAACCACTGAGATCTTCAGATTCTCACTTTTTGCCTGGGTTACGCAAGGAGTCCCCTTGCTGGTTTCCCCACAGGCTCAGCGCTCCCCAAGGAACCCGGAAAAAAGAAGAAGGAAAAAACAACACCAAGAAAGAAAACACGTTCGGGAACCTTCAGGAAAACCCGAAAGGGGCTGATCGTTTTCCAACACAGAATCACCCTTTCCAAGGGGAAAACTCCATGGGCCAAAGAATCGATGTTTGAAACCACTGAGATCTTCAGATTCTCACTTTTTGCCTGGGTTACGCAAGGAGTCCCCTTGCTGGTTTCCCCACAGGCTCAGCGCTCCCCAAGGAACCCGGAAAAAAGAAGAAGGAAAAAACAACACCAAGAAAGAAAACACGTTTCGGGAACCTTCAGGAAAACCCGAAAGGGGCTGATCGTTTTCCAACACAGAATCACCCTTTCCAAGGGGAAAACTCCATGGGCCAAAGAATCGATGTTTGAAACCACTGAGATCTTCAGATTCTCACTTTTTGCCTGGGTTACGCAAGGAGTCCCCTTGCTGGTTTCCCCACAGGCTCAGCGCTCCCCAAGGAACCCGGAAAAAAGAAGAAGGAAAAAACAACACCAAGAAAGAAAACACGCTTCGGGAACCTTCAGGAAAACCCGAAAGGGGCTCGCTCTCTGCCCCCCCTCCCGGTAACGTACCTACCCCCCGCGAATGGGCTTCCATCTACCGCCAGGTGGCGGTGATCACCGGCGCCTCCGCCGGCATTGGCCTCAGCACCGTGGAGGGCCTCGCGCGCAGCGGGATCTATGGCCGCTGGGCGTGGCCTTCGACGTGTTTTTTGTTGGGGGGTGGCGGGTCCCTTGGTTTGAGGTCGTCTTTGGGCGTTTTTGGCGGGGGTTTCTTTGGGTTTGAGGTCTTTGGGCCTAAGATATCTTAAGATTGTCATGCTATCAAGGAAAGAGGTTGAGCTCGTCCAGATGTCCATCTTTCCAGGCTCCTGGCTTTTTCTGTTGACCATTGGTCTGGTTTCTTGAAAAGCGCAATCGCTGAAGACACCGGAGAATCGACTGTCGATGTTTGTGGTTGTGATTTGAACATCAGCTTTTGGATACCACGTTAAGAGTAGCTAAAGGGCCCCTTTCAACGAGCAAAGTGATGACTTCGCAAGGGGTACGCCCCATGTCGGAAGCCTTTTTTGTCGGGATTTCACGCAAATTCATAAAGATTTAGTCTGAACAACCCATTGTAAAATCATCCCATGGAATGCACGCAAAAACGAAGCGTTCGCCAGCGATGAGCATGTAAGTTGGACTCATGTGAGGGCCTTTTTGAGGTACCAAGATTCTTCCGGCAACGCATGGTGCCTTGTTTGTTTCTCTTCGGACCGGTTTTCTCCCAAGTTTCCTGGGGCCCGTTGGCTCAAGGCACCATCGTGATGGCGGGCCGCGACTCTGCGAAGCACCAGGTGAGGGGAAGGGTGAACCATGTCTAGGTCCCCCAGTCCCTTTGACCGTTTCTTTTTTGGGGGAGGGTTCCCCTACTAAAATGGACTATAGAAAAAAGTTGGTACCCTTATTCTAACCTCTCTACTGGAGGACCTAGATTTTAAGACCGGGTTTTGATGGTGACTCTGGGGAGGGGTCCTTGCACTTCACCCTTCTTGGCATGCTTGGCAGCTTTTTAGCTCGTTTTGTGGATTGTTTCATTTTGGTGGGGGGCTGCATAATCCCAATTGAGGGACCCTAACGAACAAAATGTGCATATTTGTTCCAGACCACCAAAAAAGACGGGTCAACTGCCCGTTTGCATCGCTGGGACTCCGCAGGAGCCGATGGAAAGTTTTACCGAACAGGTCACCAGCCAACCAAGCGGCTGCTTTTGCCTCTTGGTGTCCTTTTCGTTTCCGCCAGAACCCAAGAGGAGCATACACCTTGAAGGAAGATCCCCAGCATAATCAGCAACACTCCCCAGCCTATACCCTGAGCATCGCCTGGAGAGTGTGTGTTATGCTTGTTTTGAGAGCGCGCAGAGAAGTTGTTGTTCGGCTGCCAGTGCTGCGCTTTTAAGGAGCTGCGCAGGGTTCTGATAAGGGGCCCCCGCTTGTCCGGCTGCTGGGGCAATGTTTGTAATGGCCGGAATGCCAAACCCAAATCTTGGACGAACTCTGCAGAAATCCAGGGCCAACCCTAAGCCACATACAGAGCCTGTTCAAAACCCGACCTAACCCTACACCAACCCCAACCCCCACAACAAAAAAACACAGCGTGTTAACTCTTTCTAGCCGCCACCGAAACCAGCCCTATGTTGCAGGGCTCCTTAAAAGATACATTTTGCAACCAGTTGAAACATGTTGCCTTTTCAACACCAAAGTAAAGTTGGGATCCAGCCTTTACTCATCTCATCCTAACCCCGTACGCCCCTCAAGCCACCTGAAGGGAAGTCTGGACAAAAAAAACACGACAAACAACCCGAATTCCATGCTATAACCCTGAATCAGCCCCACACCAGCTCTAAACCAAGTTTGAAGAAAACAACTCCTAAACAGCTTTCTCCCAACCTTCAACCGTCCCTAGACCAACCCCAAAGCCGACCCTACGCCCGACGCCCGCCCTCGGCCAAAAAAGCCAAACTCATGTGCGGTAGGTTTGCTTGCCTTGAGAAGAGCCTGCAGGTGCTGAGTTTTTCCGTTTCGATCCTTGACTGGTTGAAAAAGGGGCTCCCTGTTTTGAGAGAGACCCATAAGAAACGAGCAGGGTCAAATAGGCGGCAGGTTGACCATTTCTTTGTGGGTCTTGTGGTTGGCTCGCTTGCTGGAAAGAAGAGCACTTCAATGGGGCTGGTTTCGGTATCGTCAGGTCTCAGAGTGCCCACAATTCCCCGTTGACCTCTCAGCCTCAGCTCTTGGCTTTGATGCCAGGTCCAATGGGCCAAGATCGTGGGAGACCCGCTTGGAATCCGTTTTTGCGGATTCTTTTTCCGGGAGAGGAACAAAGGGCAGGTGAATGGCTACGAAACCCAAGGAATCCTTTTGGGGGTTCAATTCCAATCCGGGCGGAAGAAATCGGTTGCCAGGACTTCCAAGTGTGTGCCCAGCTCCTGGTAAAATTTCTTTGCCCAGGGGCCCCCCTTTTTGTCGGGTCCAGGAGGCCATGGAGTCTCTGAGGGAGAAGCTGAGCGCCTTGGCCAGCAGAGAGTTCTTCGGCCAGGTCTCGACTCTTTTTTTTTTCCGACGTGACCTCATCCGGTACTCCCCTTCAGCTTGACGGAAACGAAACGCAGAACGCTCGCAACATGTTTTCCCATTGCCAGACCAAAGGCTTTCCCCTCCCTTCCACTAACATGGCATCTGACAGGGGGGCCCTTGAAGAGGACAATGCAGTTGCTATGTTAGTGGGAGGGAGGGTAAGCCTTTATCACTTTGTTGTGGGTTTTGCTCTATTTTGCCAGCCAACAGGGGGGTCATCCAATTGAAAGTAGGCGGGTCTTGTCCCAAGCCCTTCGTTTTTGCTTTGGGCTGAACTCCCCAGCATGAATTCAGTACATGGAAGCGCGACTCCCAGAGAACTCCCAACACCTGAATCCACTGAATCCTTATGCCAGGTGGGTCGGGTGATTAAAAGGGGGTGACCCCTTTTCCGGAGAATAGCAATTTGGACTGGGGTCCCACCACCCCCACACCACCACCCTCCCCTTCCCCCTTAACTGGGGTCATTATTTTGACTGTTTCTGGGGTTATCAAAGTCAGAAACTGTTTTTTTGTTCCTTCAACCCATCACTTTAAAAGTGACTTTGATAAAAGGGGGAATAGATCAATTGGGACTGGGGTCTCACCCCGCACACCACCTCCCCCCTCCCCCCCCCCTTAAGGCAGAGCTTCAGGCGCGCTCGCGCGCCCGGTGGAGCTGCGATTCCTGGAGCTCGACCTCGCGTCCTTGGCCTCAGTGCGAAGCTTCGAAGCGGAGTTCCGGCAGCTGAAAAAGCCGCTGCACGCGCCCCAGCTGAACTAGGTCCCCCAGCAATTGGTGCTGTTTCTCACCTTTTTTTTTGGGTTGGGAGGGTTCCCCTACTAAAATAGACTACAGGAAAAAGTTGGAGCCCTGATTCTAACCTCTCTACTGGAGGACCTAGTGAAGAATCGGGGAGACGACGCGGTTCGAAGGAAACCCGGGCAGGAAATGGTTCAGGGGTTCGCTTCTGGGTGTCAACTGCAGAAGTTGCAAACTCTGGGGTTGTTTCAGCTTTGGTCTTTTCACCCAACGGCTGAGTCAGTTGTTCCTTTTGAAGGGGACATCCAGTGCCCGTGTTTAAACCCACCTTAAACAGTGCAACCAGATTGCCCCATGTCACGTGGCAGTTTCAATGGAAATCAACCAGTCAACTGCAGCTTTCGCAGGGGACATCCAGTGACCTGTCTAAACCCACCTTAAACAGTGCACCTAGGCAAGGCACGCGCCCATGTCTTGCCTACTGTGGATGGACGAAATCCTGTACCACTTTGAAACCATGGTTGAAACCATTGTTTGTTGGTATTTACATCCGGGAAAATCATCCTTTTCTAGGGTTTTGCAACCATCCACGGTATGAAGTGCATGAAGCCAAGGAGAAGGACGTACTAACATAGCCGCAAGCTCATTGGCACAGAAAACCGAGCTATTTTGCCAGCTATTTTGTCAGAAAACTTACAAGCTCATGTCAGCTATGTTTTGTTTGCATCTGACCTCCGAATGCCCGTTTGTTTCTCTTCAGACGCTGCTGCTGAACGCCGGGGTCATGGCACTCCCGGAGCGCCAGCAGACGGCGGACGGCTACGAGTACCAGCCGCTGGGATCGGGTTTTTCGGCCGTCCCCCAAAAAAATGCAGCGGAGCAACCAAGAAACCATAGATAATATTGATTTATTTTATTTTCGTTCAAAAAAGAAACATAAAAAATGGAAACAACAATACAAGCACAATTATGTGGTAAATCAATACAAACAATGGATCATGCATTAAATTATGGTATTGGTCCCCACGGCAAACAACATATATTGGTAAGCTAAGAGTAAGTTCGGGGGTCCTTACTCGCGGGCATGCACCACGGCAGTCGAAAAGGCCGAAGTGGCTGAAAGGACAACCACAACTCAGGCAAGCGCACGCCGGCACTCACCAGCAGTCACCAGCACTCACCAGCACTCACCAGCACTCACCAGCACTCACCAGCACTCACCAGCACTCACCAGCACTCACCAGCACTCACCAGCACTCACCAGCATACACCAGCATACACCAGCATACACCAGAACACCAGCACATCATCACACACACACACACATTGGATAGAAAAAGCATCCTAAGCCTTCAGATTGAGGGTATACATAGCTTGTTGTTCACAGGTTTTGTTTGAAGGGCGCCCACGGGGTAACAAACCATGGCTTGCGGTTTTCCTTTCACCGCTCAGATTCAGGAAGTCTTGCAGGGTACCCCTGGCGCAGTACCCTGCACGGATTGCCCACCACACGTCCAATCTAAACAGTGCCCAAACATATGTATTTACATACATATATATATATATATACATATATATATATATGTATGTATGCTACCCCCTCCCCCCCCCCCCCCGCAGGGACCTACCTTTTTGTTGCCTCTCCAGTGTATGATTTGCCAATCTAGGACTGAAAGGTAAGATCTCTCAACTAGGTCTAGGACCAAATAAGACTAGAACCAAGGATCTCTCAACTCTCTCAACTAGGACTAGGACCAAACTAGGTATAATCATTGAATGTCAAATTGACCTCCTCTGTAATGTCCTTTATACTTTCTAAGTATGTCAGTAAAGTCAGGAAGCTAGGAGAAACCTAGCACTACAACCAAGGATCTCTCAACTAAGACCAGACTGGGACTAGACTATTTAGCTTCACTTCTTATAGTATTTGGATGTCAAGTATTACATTATATTGAAAAGCAACTCCCGTGTAAAATGTGGTTTGACAAACATAATAGCCAATATTTGAATTCCAACACAATCTGTAAATTGTGACTGGATGCTTTCCTTATTTAATTGTCTACTGTATAGAACTCGATAGACATATTAAATAGAATTCATCATTCCTTTGTAATGTCCTTTATACTGTCTAATGATTTCAGTAAGCTAGCACCATACTAGGCCTAGAACCAAAGATCTCCGAACTACGACTAGGACCAAACTAGGACTAAACCATTCAACTCTAGTTCTTATACTGTTTCAACTTTTAAGTACACTGTTCTATTGGAAAGGACATCTTGTGTACCATGTAGTTTGACATAGACCAATCAACATTCAAGTTCTAATCTAAATCGAAACTTCTGACTGGACTATCCTTCTTAGACTCTAATTCATGTCAATTGGAATTTTGGTCGAATTTGATAAGAGTATGAAGTAGAATTCATACGCAAAGAATTCAGAGGTGTGTCTTTTCACCAGTCCTAGCAATACCATGGTCAAAAACACTGTAAAACACAGCGTTTTGTAGCGTGTTTCATACGCAATCCACATCTCCACCAATGACCAATCTCTAAATGTTTATTTGATCTTGAACAGGACTTAATTGAAACTCAATGCAGAAATGCTTGTTCAGAATCCTGCAGGGAATTATATCTGAAGTTTGGAATTTCAATTGAATTGCTTCCCCAACATATTCTTACATTTCAATTGGAGCTTGAACCGAGTTTGATCAGGAAAGAATCCAAGCCAGTCTCAGTTGTTCAGTGGCACCCTTTTTCCTTTTTTTTCGGTGGCTGCCCCACTAGAATGGTCCAAGCCCCAAAAAGGGTCCCTTTTTTCCAGGGTCACTGAACAACTGAGCAGTATTTAAGATTAAAGGTTCAATATTCCCTGGACAAGTCTCCTCGACAAACCTGAGTCCAGGCCCGAGTTAAACCGATTGGTTTCAACCGACGGAAGTTTCAGTCGAGCCTGGATTCAGGATGCCCGATTGAAAAGTGTGGCTTGCAATCTTGAATATGGGATTAGATTGAAACAGATTGAAACAGATTGAAACAGATTGAATGAATAGTCAGGACTTGGATGCTTGCACAACACTGTGCCAAAGCACAGCCGCGCAAAGTGCAATGTTGAATTTGGGTCTCGATGTTAACCGAGTTAAACCGATTTAAACTTTTTTGGGCCTGGATTCAAGATTCAAGAATCCAGGCCAAACTTTTCCAGGGAATCTTGAATTCAGGCCTCGATATAAACCTATTTAACCCGATTTAAACTTAAATCGGGCCTGGATTCAAGATTCAATATTCAAGAATCCAGGCCAAACTGTTGCAGGGAATCTTGAATCTTGAATCCAGGCCCGATTTAAGTTTAAATAGGTTTCAATCGAGGCCTGGATTCAAGATTCCCTCAAAAAGTTTGGCCTGGATTCTTGAATCCAGGCCCGATTTAGATTTAAATCGGTTTAAATCGAGCCTGAAGCTTCCAGAATGTTCTTGGAAATGTGTCTTTTTCATTACTTTCCCAAAAGCCCAAAAAAGGGTAGAGCACGCTGCAAATACCAGCGATTTTTTCAAGAAGGT